TCCTGGCCATGAGGGCACAGTGCTGGCTCATAGTTTAATAAATTAAACTAATTTCCTCAAGTCGAATCTGTTTTGCACATGACACTAATTGGGGGAGTGATCTCTCCTTGTCCTTATCTCAACCCATGAGATTTTTTATATACTTTCTCTCCCCTGTCTAGTTGAGGAGGGGAGTGATAGTGAGGCTTTGGTGGGCACCTGGCATCCAGACAGGGTCAACCCACCACACAGGTCAATATAAAATGAAGAGATTATTTAGAAATGTTTGCAAACTGTAATTTCTAAAAAAATGGCAGTAGAAAATAAATGTGGAACAAGAGAAATAGCTACAATACTAGCACAATGAATGTGCCAGTTCTGACCTTTTAAAAATGCCTTAAGGATCTCAAGGCAGCTATTTAACTTCTACATACAAATATACACTATTTTTCTTAAAAAATCAAATTATCAACTGATTTTTATATTTGGTGGTTTTTTTAAACACAATATAGAGTGTCGCATCTGCTTTAATTTTGACAAAGTAGGTACTTTTATTCTGCGGCAAGACTTGCAGTGCCTAGAAAAAGAAATAAACGTAAATTGTAGTTCAGCACAGGTAATAGGATCCATAAATTCAAACTCGTGGGCCCTGTGTCTTCAAATGCACAGCATCATCATATCAGAAGAAAACTTTTGCTATGAAGTTTAGGACCAGTCAGTGAGTAAGTAATACAATGTGGCATCAGAGCTGCTTATGTCCTTTTGCTGTTGCCTGTAACCCATTAATCAGCATTAAAGGAAAACAAAATTTTCCACTGGCTTTTTGCAACTTATTTTATCTGGTTTTGTGTGGTTTTACTTTCTACTTCTCACTTAAATTTCATTAAAAAAATTTGTTCCCTTTAATACGGGTCAAAAGACAGGGTCAAACTTAAAGAAAATGTCATTATCTGTAATGTTATACAACTAGCAGGAGTGCTGAGACATTTCATTTAGTAAGTACTCCACAGTCATTTAAAAAAAATGAAGTCTTGGGTCCTTAACATCTGAAGCTGAAGAAGGTATTTTACAAAGAGCATTAAGGTTTGCTCTGTGTTTTATATGAAAACACGGCAAACATCATCTACTTGAAGGATCTTGTGATAACACGTTGTTGAATATTGACCTCAGTGATTTGCTTGCTGTGAAAGTTTAGTGTGTATTATAACAAATGTGCTTCTTTGCGACATTGTTATTAAGTCTCCCAGGCTGTTTGCATGATCCACTTCAAATATTATGCAATTTTAGTTCATTCAGACCTGGAACCTGGTAACTTAAATTTTAATTTTTAAAGGGGAAGGGAGGAGGTGGTGTCCTGTAGGCTATATCCTGCTATTACTTGATTTACTGTAATCGTAGCATGTAAGAATTGACTGTGCACTTAAGGGAGATAAATTATTTGCTCTTAAATAATAGATCAAGGAGCATTATGTTGCTAACTGTGAATGCCTTATTCTGTGGCACACAAACAAAGCTGTATGAGCTGATCTGACATACCTGGACAGGGCTGTGTGTTGCAGAGTGCTTCTTCCGTGTGCAGTCCAAGGCAGATATCTCCTCCATAAGCTGGTGCTGGGTTTGTGCAGGAGCGGGTTCTCATGTAATGACCTCCTCCACAAGTTGCTGAGCACTTTGACCAAGATGACCAACAAGACCAGCCTCCATCCACTGAAAAGACATAAAATATCATATTGTTCCAAGTTAATAATCATTACATAATCCAACTCATTTTTCTCATATTCTGTGGATCTAATTCATGACCTACTGAAATTATTGGACATTTTAAGGTGCCAGTGAACACAGGATCACAAATTTAATCTTACTACAATGCAATTTAACTTACGTATTTTAAAAGCCCCTGGTACACTGGGAAGTATAACAAAGTTTCTCATTCACACAAGACGCTTTCAGTGGGTACCATAATAGTCTTAAGGCCAAAACTGTTTTCTCACTTGTAAGGAAATAAAATACCAAAGCTTGTTTAGCAGAAGTATTATAAGCTTAAAGTAAATTTTCATTCATAAATTAAAAGTTAGCCCAATAACATCAACAGAGAGACAGAGGAATCCAGATTTTTGATTATTTTTTTTTGATTTTTTGCAAACCAGGTGAGATTGCCTTGACCCTACAATTCAGATCAATTGACCTAACACAGTCATAGGGTTTGATGGGCCAGCATAACGTTACAGTCTTAATGCAGCTCTAGCACAGATGCCAGCAGCAGAACAATGGCGGTAGTTCAAAAAAGCAAAGGATGAATGACAAAAAGGAGTTGCCACTTAAAGTTTAAAACACTGGTTGTCTAAGAATAAATACTTCTTTTCCCCCCGTTAGTATTTACTGATTGAAGCATGTCAAACTGTTCTCCAGTCTGAGTTTTAACAAGGTTCCTCTGAAATGCAGGCTGGATTTCATGGGAGCCACATTTGTTATATGGCTTTCTACACGTGGCCACTAGACAGGCTTCTAATGAAAGTTCACCTCATTGCCTGCACTGGATTGGCTCCTATACAGCCTCTGTTCTTAAAGCTGCTGCTTCAGGATGTATTTCTGGCATTTATGGCCATATTGCAGCCCATCTGCCAAAGGCTTCCTATCTGCAGCCACATGACAAAGTCAGATGTACTTCTCCCAGGGACAGCAATCCCTCTGCAGAGAATCTCAGTATTTTGCTCATTTCTCTTTCATTTTTTTAAGGGGACAAAACAGCAACATAAAACTAAACTTTCAAAATTTTCATATTCTACAAAAAAATAATTTATTTTCAAACCTCTATTTAAAGTTTTATCAATTGCTTTCTTAATACTTAAGTAAGAAAATGATTTACCATGTTTGCAACTAATTAAAAGAAATAGTGTATAATTCAACTGATACTAATAGATGAGACCCTAAGTATAACAAAAGCAATGTGCCAGTAAAGTCTTGGTTTATGACAGGACCCTAAACCGAGTAGTTTTGTTTTGGTTATTTTTTTTCTCCCATCACTCACAGAAACTCATTATTGCCTACTTTTAAAAATACTAGGAAAGTACCCATTTTATGTACACAATTTTTACTGTGTGTTCATTTAAGACATTCCTTGTAAGACTTTATTTCATGGTTTGTTGAAACAATTGATTGTCACTCAAGTCTCCAAAACATTCATCCAGCATTTCATAATAACTACTTTAGATTCCTTCTGTTCAATTAATCAAACAGCCTTTCAAGGACTAAACCAGTTTCCACTGGTTTATTGAAATGCTATTCCATAATTATCTCTTATTAAAAAAAAACAAAACAAAAAAACAAAACAAAACAAAACCCCAAACCAACCAACAAAAAAAAAAATACGATGTTCCAAATCTGAAAAAAAAATATTAACTTACAATGAAAATACCTGTGCAATATTTGTATTTAAATTCTCTCTTAGATGAAAAAATAGAACATTAAAAAATACTTGTTTTGGTAGCATTGTATATCACAAATGCACTTGGTGAGCTGAGTAGAATAATCTCTGTGCAAAGGCTGCAATGGTGAGAAAATGAGTTAGGAGAAAGTGATTTTTTGGATATTAAAACCTATATGTGCATTTTTAAATGTAATTTCAGATACAGTACACCCTCAGGTTCTCAACTGCTAATCAAACAGGTAATTTGCTAGTGCATACTGAATGCTATTAACTAATCCTGTAAGTGAAGTTGCTGAGTATATAACATTTTATTCTCTGTACTCTTTGCAACATTATCCTATAAATCAAGAAAGTATGGAGTTGGCACTTCCTTGCCAAGAACAATAGTTGTAAAAATTTTTGCAAGTAATGTATCCAGCCTCTGAATAGCCTGATTGGACAGACAAGATTCATGGAATCTGGTACTATATTCCAAGTATGTCATTTAAATAAATTATTTCCATTATTAAGGAATTCAATGATTGCTACATTTTTTCCAGGATATATTTATCAGCCAAATCATCTAGCTATACAGATGTATGAGAGAGTTTTGTATTACCTATCATAAATAAACACTGCATTTCAGCAGAGTGCTTGACTTGTTCTCTTATTCATATAGTCACTGGAAAACAAATATGTCATTTTACCTGAGATAATTCTGTTAATGTAGTATCGTGCAAGCTCATACCTAAGAAAGCCACAGGTTATTAATCTTTAGTGCATGTGAAATATAATGTGCAATTTTATAACGATTTCAAGACAAAGTATCTTTTATTCAGAACATGCCTCTTTTCAATTTTTTTAATTATGTCAAGTAAAAGCAGAAGTCATTACCTAAGCTGTTTATTTCATGCAATATTAAAGTTTTACCTTTGTGGATACTCTATTTTTTTCTTAAAAAAAAAAAAATAAAAATAAAAAAATAAAAAAAAAATTAATCAGTGTCCTGCTGCAGTGTATAGACCTCTGCAAACAGAGTGACAGCCTGAGATCACCTAGACAGAAGATAAATTGTCTGTAAACATTAGCTGTGGCTTGTTCACTGTAACGGATATTGTGACCCTCAACATTTTCTACTTATTTTTCAATGGACCAGAATGAGAATTACAAATGCACATGCATTTGAAACTGCCATCTGCCATCTATCTCCAGGTGGCCAAGAACACAGAGACCAATGTGACATCCAGGAATGTCACCATGTTCCACAACTGTAGTGATCACGGCTGTACTATGACTTTGGATGTAAAAGCAGAAGTGGGTCTCGGAAAGATGGGAAAGGACAGACAACGTTAGATTCGAATATGGTTGAGCTAGACAGTGTAATTATAATTGGTTTTCTTAGTGACTATTTACTGATGTGCTGCCATCCTAAATCTCCAGGCCTTTCAAGAACTATCATAACTACCTCTTTTATTTGTTCCTAGAACTTTTCCTTCTCAGCAACAGAGCATGATAAAGCATCATCATGGTTAAATAAGATCAAAGGAGTGGGTATTTACTGCTAGAGTTTTTACAAGACCTAAATAGAGCTCTGTGGTTTCTTTCATCTTTCTTTAAAGTTGCTTAGCAACACAGCACCATCTGTTTGTTGGGGGTTTTTTCTTCTTTTTTCCTTTTGTCATGGAGTCCTTAACGTTATTTCTGCTTCTTATAGGAGGAAAAATACACATCTGCATGGAAAATACCAGTCACTACAGTTTCTTTACATAAGAGTTTTGTAGAGCTGACAGACAAAAGAAAGTCATTAAAGCAGTTCCACAATGGAAGACACAAAGAGTCTAGTTTTCTGACAATTACTGAGCTTGGTCCCTTTGGAAGAAGGCATCCTTAAGCTAGCAGGGTGCTCTCAAACAATGCTTTTTTCCTTTATAGTAGAGCGAACAACTTTTTGCCTACTGGCTGTTGTGGTTAATAAATATTTTTTCACTATAATGAAAAAAAAAAAAAACCATAGGGAAGAGGATATACGAGGGAGAAACAGTGTACAGAAATGAGATCTCCTGGGGACATGATAAAACATCCACACTACTGGAGAATTTCCAAGAGACAATTAAGTAAACTGGATACCCTGCTATGCACTTTGGATTTTACAAGAAAGTGGAAGGAAGCGTGGGCAGACACACTGACCTCACCTGCTTTCATGAGAACAGATAGGATTGCAGGCTCTTTCATATACTGTCTGGTCTCATTTCAAATTTTAACAACAATAAAATCTTTTTTTTTTTTTTAATTTTAGTGTATGCATCTAGGTTTGTAAGTTTTCATGTTAATCTTTTTGAAAGTGTAGTGAAAGAGAATAAAAATATTGAGAGGTCAGTCTTTTCTGTATGCATGAAGGAGTATAAATAGAGGGGCAGTAGTCCTTTTCACCCACCAAAACAGAGATGGTGTGCTTCTCAGTGGCTGAGTAAAAGTTAGGGGAACCAGGGGAACTGAGAGTTCGGCAGCCTACAGACCCAAGAGAGTACTGCTCCCTTCCAGACACCTGGGGATCATCCCATTCCACATCACTTAGCCTACTGCTTTTTCCTAATCCTGCAGGATATTGCTGCACATTTCAGTGTGTGAATTTATTTGGTTCTCCTCAGCCAACATGTCATAACTAAACCAAACTAAAACGACTATAAAAAAATCTGAAAACAGCAAAATCCCAAAATATTGGCATGAAGTATCAGAACTTCAAATCTAAAAGATGGCAACTGTCCTTTCCCTCTGATCCATCACTATGGTCTGAAGAGAAGAGGGAAGAGGAACTCCTGTAGCTCATGCTACTCAATGGCACTTATGTAGCTATACTTTAAATTCCTAAATAAGGCACATCGGCCAAGTGTCCCTATGTGCAAAAGGATAAAAGAGAAGGCAACAAGAAACAAAATGAAATAAAAATGAGGAAAAAGCTGTCTTTTCCTATAGTAATAACTGAAGAGATATTTAATATTCTGAACTAGGACAGAATTCCTTACATTTGGTACTATTATTTTCAGGCAAACAAATCTTTCAATTAGTAAATTCCTGTAATTTTTGTAAATTTGCAGAATTTACAATTTAAAAAATGCTTCTCTTCATCATCTGTTTCTCTTCATAATGTAAATATCTCACAAGCCCCCAAGGATAACAAAACCCTAATATGTCTGGTTATAGATTCTTTTCTTTTCATATTGACCATATATTAGTAATCCAAAGAAAACAGAAATGTCAGTGAGTATTCACAGATCCTTTCCATAGTTATTGAAGCAGTTCAGTGCTCGCCAGTTCAATTCTATTCACCACATCTCTGAGCCATAAAAAAGGAGCTGAGGCACAGGGCCAAACCATAATTTGCTAGTGCAAGACAATGGTGTAAATTGTCCTGCCCCTCAAAGCAGTTTGGCTACAGGGAAACTGAATACTGGGAACAGGCCTCACCCTACACTGACTCCTAAACTATTTCTGCAGAGTATTTGGGAGAGTGCTAGTTAGTCAAAGGCAAAATTGTATGAAGAATCATTCTAAAATTTGTATAATACAGACAAATCATATTCCTGGGCCTGGTTACAATTTCTGGCAATTTTTTTGCACTGTTCAATTTACTATTACATATTAAGCCTTCAAATACTATGAACAAAAAGTAATCTGCCCAGTGACTGCCATCAGTATACGTCAGCGGACCGTTTACTTTGCTACAAGCTCTGGGAAAAAATTTCACTGTTCCACCCCTGCAGCCTGAAGAAAGATTTAATAGTAGCCACTGCAGGCAAGTTTTAGATGGTTTCAGTATTTTTTTTTTAAAGTTCTGTGATCCTGCAGCACATTTAAGCATACATTACTGGCTATTAATATATTAATAAGTATATTTAAAATTATGCTGCAAGACACTCAACCAGACAAGACAGGATTGTATGCTTGGTGATTGCTCTATGGGCTTTTTTATTGTGTCAGTTCTTCAGAGCACTTAGTATCTTCCAGGATGACACTGAGCTCAGATTAATTGATTTAGAAGCCTAAAGTCCTATTGACTTTCATCATGACTTAAGCACTGCTCAGTATATTTCTCCATCACTCATCTTTTTAAGCAGTTTACATCATAAGGGTTTAATCCTGTCTGCAATAAGCAGAACAGGGAGAAAAGCAGAACCTGAGCTTGCACTAGCAGGAAGTCTTTTTTATGGTTGCCATCTCACCCCTTCCTACAAAACAGAATATTTCTGAAAGGCTAATGACTGGACTGGACTGTAACAAAATGGTTCTGTGCCAGCAGGGAACAGGTGAAGCTGTCCTTAACCCAAGGGAGCTCAGGTGAATCTCAGAAAGCACCACATTCTTCTTTGTTGCATTTTTATTTCTAGTACTATGGCCAGAACAAAATCTCCTCACATCCCTTAACCTTTCTGTCTGCACTTCGCTTACTTACATGGGCAAGAATAAACTATGTAGAGTCCCTGTTTTTCTCCTCGATGCTCACAGTGGCAAGAAGGGCCTCTCATGTTTACTCCTACTCAGGCCATGAAACTCTATCTACAGCCTAGTCCATGTGAGGAGGGTATAGTCAATACCATGATGAGATCTGCACCAACACCAAACTTTCTCATAAACACCTGCTAGGGTTGTGTGATCAAAGCCTAACAGGGACATTTTAGAAACTCACTTGGATAGCTAGGGTAAGAATACTTTATATAGCTATCCTAAATATAAGCACTCAGGAAATGAAATCTGGTTCCTAGCACAGTGGTTAACAAGAAGGCTGAAAAGTGATCCAACCATGGTTTCTTTGACTGGCTTTTACCCTCTCTGCTATGTGGGGTCTGCCAAGTTTGTCTGTGTGGGCCTGGACCAAAGGCTCTTCACCCATGTATTGTTTTTGTCTCCCCTTTCTTGATGAAGTCTCATGAATGCCAACCTAATAGATGTTTGTGTTTATCCACCAATTTAACTTTCTGTGACTTTCATTAAAAATTGAGAGAATTCAATTTCATCAGTGTGCTTCTCTAATAAAATATTATTCCCTTTTTACAGATTTATAATCAGGTCTAATTTATGGGTAAGCCTTATTCCGCAATCATTTTTTACTCTGCCATGTCTTAAAGAAAAAAAAAAAATCAATTACATCTACTGCTTGCAATGTTTTCCCTTCAGATTTATCTGAGATCTGACTTAGCCCCTTACATTTCTTCTTAATTACTGGCAAACAGTAGTTGTGTAGTTAAGGAACTTTGTGATTCCTCACAGGCTATCATACATCTAAATATTTCATTCAAGCTCTGTATCTTCATTCAAATTTACTTTGTACTAAGAAGAAAAATGAAATTTGTCTCTAAAGAAAGTTATTATATATATTAGGACGTCCTTTCTTGTTTCAGAAAGACCAACCACTCTTTATACCAACTGGGTTTTAGAAATATTTTCAAATTTGGAGACAGCAGCAGAGGGATTAATTTTTATATAAAGCACAATTTCAAGTTCTGCCTTACAACTTCATGTATTTTAGTTTTAGGTATTGGCTAACTCATAAACAACAAGGGACTCTACATCAAATTTATGTCTGCATAACTATATGTTTTACTGATTGGAAAAATTTACTTCAAAAAACATAACAGTGTACTTAGCTGCAGAGCTAATTAAAAATATCACTTCCAGAAACCTTTACCTTTTTTAACTTTGAAAAAAATTCAACAAAATTCAAGACAGCATTTAATTTAAGAATCAACAGCAAGGGATGAACAACAAATCTGGCCCCACTTTATAGATAATCTGGGCCCATTTAATGAATGTACTTCAGTTACTACAGTATGGTAACACTGTCAAATCTTTTAAAGCTTGTGAGCAGAGCTGTTAGCTATCACCACACTACTCACCTGCTTCAAAGGAAGCTCAAGGCAGTGTCTCATGGAGGGATTCCCTTTGCAAGGGAAGAAGGAACCAAGGAGGAAATGCTATGTTCTAGCTTGTTTCACCTACTGCATGCATCCCTGGAGAGGCTTGCACGTGTTAGTACAAGGGTCCTCTAAATCTTTGACCTAATGAATTATTATTAACCTTCAAAAATTTTCACAGACTAACAGTGCAGTAACATGAAACAGAATGTTTTATAATTTTATTATTCAAGAAAAGCAAGGCATTATGATTGCAGTGTGGAAACTAATGAATTAAAGCATGCACTAGGGCTGTGCAAATGTGGAGAAGATTGAGGTCACAATTTTATAATTCTCTGCCAACTGTTGGCTCTCTGTTGATTCCCTTTCAACTCTCTCTCACACTGTTTGGTGTAGAAAACATGGCCACCCTTCACTGATCCTGCCTCTAAGATCATAAAGAAGCATATAATCTCTTCCCTTGATCTCCTCAGATAATTTTTATAAGAAGTCACATGGAAAAGATGAGGAGTAATGGGTACAAGTTACTCCTGGAGACATTCTAATTGAACACAAGGGGAAAATTTTTCACAATGAGAATGATCAGTCACTATAATAATCTCCCCAGGGAAGTAGTGGATTCCCCAACACTGGACTCTTTCAAGATTCAGCTGGCCAGGGTGCTGAACCATCTTGTCTAGACCATGCTTTTGCCAAGAAAGGTTGGACCAGGTGATCCTTGAGGTCCCTTCCGATCTGGTATTCTATGATTCTATGACTGATTCTTATATTGCCAGATAGAGAAGCTACACAATAAGCATCTAAATCTACTTTCCTCCTCTTTGGATGCAGCAAGAAAATTTCACCAGAAAGTGCTGGCTTGTGCCCAAGTGCCTCCTTCAGAATCTCAATGCCAAGTTTTAACTGGTAACCATATAAATATATATAGACATAGATAAATACACACACATATGTGTTTTACTGTAGTAATATACATAAGTAATACGTGTATTGTCATAGTAATCCTTCAGAAACACACTTGAATAAATGCCAAAAGCTCCAAGTCTTCAATAACAAAATATGCAGCACTGTTACACATAATTAATACAATTAAAGATGTATGAAAGCTTATTTCTAAATTTACTTTTTGATACTGGAAAGAACTGACTCAGTCATTACCCTTCTTCCTCTCTATTGTTTCACACCTTGAATTCTTTCCTCCTATTCCAATTGCACTTTCTTTTCTTCATGTGTTCTCCTATATCCTTCCTTTTTCTTATCCACAAAGCCCCTATAAAGCTTTGGATGTCTGTTTTATGAAGGGTGACTGAAACCAAGACTTTTTTCCCCTCAAATGTGTAAGATACAACAATGATTTATAACCCAAAGTAGTTTATTGAAAACATATATTCTACTTGTAATCCTTTTTATAGAATCATAAAACAACTTTCAATGAAGGAGAAGCTCAACATTCCAAGAACAATCTTTATGTCCTACTTGAGATACCATCTAGTTTGGTGATCAGTCCTGAACCTTATTTGCTGGAGGCTCTACACTGAAAAGCTAGCACAGATTTAATGCCATCAACGACTGTGATGAAAATGATATTTTGAATTTAAATAAAGACTAGGTCACATTTCTCATGTCTTGCCAGATTTTTTATCTATTTTTTTCTCTTCGGAGTTTACTTATTAAAGTTATATTTTTATATGACTCGTGAGTCAAAAGTCTCACAAGTGAAAAAAGACATAGCTATTAATACTGTTGACGATAAACTGATTGACATCACTCGGGAATCTTTTCCAAGTCCACTTACATTATAAAGGTAAATTTGAGATGTAGTTTATTCAAAAACCAAAACAAACCCCAAACCCACAAAAAAACCAAACCAACTACTGCAAGATATAGCTTCAATGAGTTATTTATTTTCACATACTTCTCTCATTTCAGCTGACTCTTACCTGGACAAGGCAAAATGTTGCATTCCTGGTACTCTAGAGATGGGCCGAGGCAAGGAAGTCCCCCATACTTGGGCTCAGGATTGCTGCAGACCCGTTTGCGATTCCGTATCCCTCTACTGCAGTCACGACTGCACTGAGACCATGGAGACCAGGGTGACCAGGCACCATTGATGGTATGAGCAGAGTATCGTCCAGAACGCAAGAAATCTCCTGACAATCCTAGCAAAATAAGGATTGAAAAAGACCAATACTGAATTAATACAGTATCTCACCCCAAAACAACCTTTTCCTCTTCAAATTTACTCCTAGGCTTCTAATAGTAATATGAACAGGAGGGTCTTGTTCTTTAGTCTCACAATCCAAACCCTAGTTTCATCTCAAGAATCTCTGCCATAATAGATATTCCATAATCATTTGCACAGAACTACAGTGAAGACCTGGATCCAACTCTTTAGTTAAAGCTTTACAGCTACACTGACTGAAGTAAAGTCAATTTATTCCACCTGAGGATGATAAAAATTATCTCTTTCTTGTGTGGGAATTGTAATCAGAAAATTTCCAAATATATTACATAGGTATTATTGCCTCTGTTTTAGAGGAAGGAGGTGACACAGAAGACAAGACTGAGCTGCCTGTGACCACTCATCAAGCCAGCTCCCCTAGTCCTACTGCAGGGCTCTGCTCACTTGATCTACCCAGCCTGCCTCCACCTGTGCTTGCTATGCCCAGAGGCTCACAGATGTCCTGGAAAGCAATGCGCTGTACTTATCCTAAGCATAGTCAGACTTTAGACAGTGTACAGCAATAATTCCACAAAGTCCAGTGAGACTGTCCTTTTGTGAAGAGCAATGTTTTGCCACTTTAAAAAATGGTTTATTTTCCAATGAGTTGAAGCATTCATTTCATTACACATGTAATCTATGGAAATCAGCCTTTTAGCGACACACACAATAGAATACTTCCCAGTTAAATAACCATCTGGCAAATGGAAAACATCTTTTCTAAGTGAGGTTAGTATGAAGAAAAGGCATTAAACAGCAATGGAGACTGAAGTCCACATTTATCAGGGAAAGGGAAACACACAGAGTCTTGTTCAGAGCATACAACCAAAATGCCTGGATGTACCCCCAGGTGAAGTTATAATAATCTGCAGTTAATTTGAGTATCTTTGTCAGTTGCAGACTTGGTCCTGCACGGGAAGAAGATTCCCTCAACTGTACTCAGCACAACACTGAACTCATTCTTGAACTGTAGCATTACTTCTAAGCACCACTACTAAGCATCTCCAGCAACACTACTGGAATTTCCTACTCTTGCCAAAGCAGTTCACCTTCCCCAGTGCTAGCATCATGGGAAACTCTATGATTGATGGACTACTAACTGCTGCTTTTACGACAAGCACTTATTTAAGTAGTTGTGATGAAAGAAGGTCCCATGAATGGTACTTAAAACAGCAGAAGATGTGGCTGCCTGCCTATGCTAGAGATTCAGTATTGCACAGATAAATGGGACCAACAGTGGAGAAATGCAGGTGATTGTTTGCAGCTTAAACTGCAGCACAAACTTTTATTCTTAATAAATTGTTTTATGCCCTACCTACAAGCATAGGCACTGTGGAAGTATCAAATGGAGCTAAAGAAACAGAAGATGCACTGAATCATGTACTGAAAACAGCTACAAGTAATACCACGAAGAGACTGCCCGACAGGAGCCCTGGACTGAACAGGACCAATACTCTGGATAACCAGAACGGAGGAGCCCCTCGTTCATGGTGTCCAGTACTGAAACAATTATGCCCTATTTCTACCTGTGCTTATGGCATTAGTAATACTGCTTAAGTTCTGCCCTGAGAAGTACATTCACAAACATCCCAAAATAGATGAGACTTTGCATGTTTTTATTCAACACTTGATAACAACTGGCAATACTGGAATGATGATGCAGCAACACAGAAATACTTATAAAAAGAAACTGTTGAAATTAATAAGAAACTAGCAGAAGAGCAATATAAAACTGACTAAAAATGGATAAAACCTTTCAGTTATTATAGAGGGTAACTATTTCTCTCCTGCTGAGCCAGATTCTATTACACAGATATTAAAAGCAGCATTTCAAGAAACATGACTTACATTCAAATCCAAAAAGGGAGCAAGTACAGAGAAAAAGTATGGGAATTTATGAACACAGGTTCACTTTCCAGCTCTATAAGAACCTTTTTATGCAATTTTGTATTACTTTGGTCATGGAAATGCCCAGTTTATGCACACAGTGAGCTGTGAGACCAAAATAATAATAATATTTTTTGATATTAGAATTTCAAATTATGGAGTTTTTTAGTTATTAAATTAACAGCAATGCAAACAATGGAAAAAGTGTTCTTAATCAGGCCAGATTACTAGTCATTTTCTTCATAAAACACAGAAACACACATCACTTCATACCAGCACTCGGATGTTCTGAAGACATTTTTTGCAGGACAGGTGTAGCTTTTTCAGTCCTAAGGAAAATGTGTGACATTATTTGTCATTATGATATCAGATTTCTTGTGATTTAAATTGGGGAGTGGGGAGGGAAAATTTCTAAAGGAAAGCTCTGAGGTGCTTTAGCTCTGAAACAGAAGAATATTCTAAAGAATCTTTTCAGTGTGGAGTTTGGTCTGCAGCAAGTGTTCCCATGTGTTTTCTTCTTTCCAGAGCATTAAAAAAAATATTACAGGGAGCAGTCTTTTCACAGTCTTACAGAAATTCATACAGTGTTCATAGAGGGGTTGTTTGAATTTTCTGTTCAGACACAAACTGCACATTTAAAAAATAGCATGATGACACTAATGTCATTAAAAACAAGATCAGTTTACATTCTGGAAATACAGTGCTATATATTGCTTCAACAACCTTGTAGCCTTCTACAATGAGGTGACTAGGTTCATGGATGAGGGGAGAACAGTGGATGTTACTTATCTCAACTTCAGTAAAAGTTTTGACACTGTCTCCCATAACTTCCTGATAGACAAGTAAACAAACTATGGGCTAGGTAAGTGGACAGTGCAATGGATTGAAAACTGTCTGAAGAACCGGGCCCAGAGGGTTACGATCAGTTGTACAAAGTCCAACTGGAGGAAAGTCACTAGTGGTGTACATCAGGGCTTAGTACCGTGTCCAGTCCTGTTTAACATCTTTATTAATGACCTGGACAATAGGGCAGAGTGCATCCTCATCAAGTCTGCTGTTGATACGAAAGTGGGAAGGGTGGCTGATACAACAGAGGGTTGTGCCACACCTTGACTAGGCAGAGAAACCTTGTGGAGTTCAACAAGGGGAAATGTAGTCTTGCATCTGGGGAAGAAGAGCAAAACTATCCAAAAGATCACACTGCAAAATTTCTTCAAGAAAAGCTTCTTCAGAAAGTAGGTATCTATATAGAAACAAGTCCTATCTGCATCTCAGTTTACACCTGGTGTTATAGGAGAAGTTATAAATATAAAAGCATTGTAAACTTTCAGATCAAGTAACACGAAACTATGAAACTCCTACTTTTCTCACTAAACTATGGTTTTCTTGTTTGCCACCTTTGTTTGCGATTTGGGTCACTTTCTCCACATCCACCTCCACAAAAAGCAACATTAAGCCTTCTGTATTTCTCAGTTTATTGCCCCCAGGATGAAAATATCTGTCTCAAACAGAACATAAGGGACAGTGCCCTTGGCTTGGTAACAACAACATATGCTAAAATACCATCTAAGCTTTACTTATTTAAACCCTACCTACAGAAATGCTTGTGGAATCTGCAAAACAGATGATGCTATGATCAGTCATAGCATCATCAGTGAACTAATGACTTAATCCCAGTACAATTTTAAACAGGCAGCTGTGCTTCCCTAAAGCAAAATTTCCACAAGTAACAACAAGTACAGCAAAAAGTTCAGTAAAAGCAATCACAGGGATTTTGTGGACAAAACAACCATCAACTTCAAAGGCCAAGGAAGACAAGATATGAACTGACATCTAAACAGAAGATTATTTTCTCATTTTAAGTGCGAATGCTTTTGTTCAATATGGTAAACAGTGACATTAGCACTGCTTCACTGCTGACTTACTTATTCCATTATATTTAGCAAGCACATACAACAGAAAAAACTGTATAATTAAGTTACATAATTCTGATCTAAGCCAAGATGATCTTATAATTTCTAAGTATTTCTGTTGTTGTTGTTGTTGTCTAATTGGAACAATTTTATAACTCCACTAGAATTTAATCCTGTTTGGAGACATGTTAACATGAAAGTCACCTGCCCTGACCAGTATGGGAGGAAAAAATCTGCCTTTGTAAAAGCCTGTAATGAAACTTTGATTGGCCTGATTCTTCTTGAAGAATGCAACATTCCCAGCAAAGTTCAATTAATTTGCCTTAGAAGCAAGGTTGTAATAAAGCATATCTATTTCTAATAATTCTCTTTTCTAGCCTATTGCTAAGGTATATAGCTCTAAATAAGAGAGAAGTAGCAGCGACACCCGATAAATTATACTACTTGACTGATTTATGCCTTATGTCCCCCTGTTCAAATCTAACAAAGAAAATTCAATTATCCAAGCAGTCTAGGTTCATGACTTTGGGAAATTATGATCTAGAGCCAAAATTCAAGTACCTTGAATCATTTCTAAATGACAGCTTGAAACACTGTTTAAAGTGCGTCGGGTAACAAGGATAAGCAAAGACTGAGTCAGTGCTGTCACTCTCTGAAGATATTCTGCAAGTTTTTGACGATATCATTGAAGCATAAAACTTACATACCTTCAGGCCTATATACCTATCACTTATAAAAATCTTCAAAACTCACTTAGTAAAATTTAAATGGCAAAATTCAATGGCAAACATTAATGCAATCAAAGATAATATTTTAAAAAACCCAAACAGTATGCAGATGGAATATATTCTGTTACCATGAGAACTTTATTTCTTGTACCTAGCTTTTCTGTGTTTAAATATTTCATCCCAAAGTTCTACTGAAGAGTTGTTTGTCAATCAAACTTGACTTTGTTGTCAAATTCAGGTCTAACTTCCACAATTCATTTTGTTCTTATCTCAGAATACCACAGTTTAGCTTCAATAAGAGATAACATCTCACCGTATACTTTTTCTGACTACAAGACATTACTGATTATCAGCACCTGTTTTATTCTGTTCTAAATTCTGATTGCACTATAGATTTCCTGTGGGTAAAA